ATAAATATTAAAATTTATCAAATTAATAAAAACGAAAACGAAAAAAAAAAACTCGATTCTTAGCCGTTCTTAAGCATGAAAACGAACGAAAAGCTTTAAAAAGTGAGCAGCCTAAAAAGAATGAGAGGGAGAGAGTTGGAAAGAGATGCGTAGACTGGGAGACGCGATCAGTCTATACAAAGTTAAGCAGCATCCATATGAAGAGATATTTCAGCTAGGATCAACTCCTTATATAAATGACAGAGTTTTTGCCTAAATAGGCTAAGATCAGCCGAAACAGATGCATAACATGGAGCATATCCATAATCTGTTAATAAAGACAATACTGTATCTACATATATCTTTAAAGAGAAGTATCTTAACTGAATAAATTCCCGCTGACTTAGTTCAGCCGTGCTTCAATCTAAGTTGTTGCAGTTAACTATATATCTAGCGCGCTATAGGCTTCACACTTCATTCAAACGCAAGATCCATTAGGTATCCAATAAGCTATATCCTTCAACCAACATATCCAACATCCATATCTTTGAAACTGCAATTGCATTTACATAAGTTTCTACAGCATAACATTTATTCTATAACTTTTAATGGTTTTAGTGTGTGTGTTTGATAAATGCGACAACAGGTTAATCTAATCCCAGGCCTCCTTCACTCGCAGATGCTGCAGACGCTCCTCGATGGTCACATGCGGCTTTAGTTTGCTGCGCGTTTGTTCGTCTGTCCACTTGGCCACCAGCTTTTCGCGCTTCTGCAGCTCCTTGGCATGGCCCGACGATTGCTCCTTGAGAGTGCACAAAGTGTTTGGCATTAGTACTTAGCAAATATTAGATATAATATGTAGTACATACCAGGGTGAGGTAAGGATGTCGCAGCAGGAACATGATCTGCTCCTGTCTTTCGTATTCGCGGATCAGCGTATCCATTGAACGTTTGCTCACCGGCTTGACGAGGCGTCGCTTGCCACGGAATATGTGGCCGGGCACAGTTTTCTTAAAGAAATTGATTAACGTCAGCTGCATATTGTGTGTTGTTAATTTATGAACAATAAAAAATGACTTCTTTTTAATGCACGTTCAATGTTGTTGCACAAGTCGCCGTGACAGCTGAGAGCTGTTATCGTTGAAGAATCCAAATATATCGATATATACTCAGTACGCATGTCTCTAGCCATTGCTCGATGAATTGTTCTCAATTTTTAACCAGAGCAAATTTACCGATAGTATCGCGCCCAATTTTAAAATTTCATATCTCGTGGAAACAATTAACAAACTAAAAACGTGGTATTTAATTTCAAAACAATTTTACAGACTGTAAATACAAAAGAAATATTCAGCTTATGCACTATGCTCGGAAATGGGATAGGGATTGGCATGCATTGTCTTGCCCTGATGCAGTGCACCCTCGACAAAATGCAATATCTCGAATCCCACTTCCACCATAATCAAAATAATGATCATCCATTCTAGCCGTATGTGATGTGCATCGTTTAGATTGTGGGAGACCAGTTCGGCCAGCTCGACACAGTGGTTGATCTTCTCGTTCATCACCTTGGTGCGCCGTGTGATGCTAAAATAAGAGCACACCTGCAGATAGAGCCCCTCCAGCTCCTCGCGATCCCAGTAGAAATCCGGCGCATCGAGCAGGTCCGAGGACAGATTAATGGAATGCCGCAGTGCAAACAATTCACCAGTTTTCCGCAGCATCGAGGCACGTGATATGCGCAGCCGTCGGCCACGTTTCAGATCCTCTGTCAGATACTCCATCGAGTCAATGTATCGATCCAGAGTCGCCTCCCAAATGCCCAACTTAATCGACTGGGCAATCGCATTTGAGAATGTGTATTTATAGAGGAAATTGTCACTGTCCTGCGTCACATAGAACTTGCCGTTCTGGAAGAAGGCACGCGATGCCACATTCATATCGCTGCACTCGGCCACCAGGTCGCCCTCAACATCAACTGCCGTCGATGCGATGTAGGTGTAGGGCATGACCTCGCTCTCTCCATGGACCAGGGTGCTCACGTACGATTCTCGCTCGAAGTTGCGCAGGAAGCTGAGCACATTGTTCGTTTCGATGTCGTTGCAATTCCAGAATACCACTGATCCCTCGCGAAAGAAGAAGATCTCACGTGGACGCGATCCCGTTTGGTATTTGGCCGTAACATAGAGCACATTCTGCTCGACGCCCAGATTGTCGGTGGAGAAGAATCGTTTGGTTTCATATAGATTCTGTTGCTTAAGCGCCTCATGCAGCTCCTCCAAATTGTATTCATCGGCTGTCGTGTAGCCACGTGTCTTGAGGAACCCCAGGGCAGATAGCTCATCGATGGCCAAACGTTTCTTGCGCAACGCACGCGATCGGCTGGGCGAGAGACCCGTTTCCAATGGCTCATCCACCTGTGGCAAGGTCTTGACACCACCAGCAATTCCACTTCTGGCCGTCTTGGCCGGCGCACCAGATACATCGGCGGCGTCTCCGGGAGCTGTTATGCTGCTGGCCATGTGTCTGTAGATTCTAGGCCGGCTTAGGCTGGCGCTGTTCAACAGCTTATATGTGTGCACTTTGGTCATGGCATTCCACAGAAGCGTCGCCTCGGCGGCACAGCGTCTATATATCATATTAGTTATTCTTTTTACTTAGTTCTTAATTTTACAAAAGTAAAAACACTTGGTAATTGCCATAATAGTTGGCTCGATATGTTTTGATTTGTTATCGAATTGATTGAGCTGGTTCGCAACTAACTGAATGAACTATAATTCTTGTCCAGTGAACCGCGCTCATATTTATTAAATTTCTTTACATGGTTTTGTTTGTTTTTTTTTTTTTTTTTTTTTATATTCTGATTCGAAAATTTTTAGTTGTCCAAACTTAGTGCTGAGTCAGTTAGTTTTCATTACTTTATACAAGTTTAACAATCGGTATATCTGGTAAAATAAATCGATTGCTCTCTGACAAAAAAAATTAACGATAACAGACGTTTGCTCTATCGATATTGTGTCAACAACAAACGGTACGACTAACTGTGTAGTGTCTATGGCGGCAACGCATAAAATAAAATGGAAAACGCATTGTGTACCAATATAAAGAAGCTATACGACAATGGACTATATGAATGCGTTATACCAACAGTAAGTCGATCCATTTGCAATTCCGTGGACACGCAGCTTTCTTGGCAGACATGCAGCATCCAAGTCCTTAATCAAGGAGACAATTTTAAATGCCTGCTCATACACACTGACACACACACATATATATATATAGCCATTCAGTTACTAATGCAAAGATAATTGCAGGCCAGCCTGTTGTGCACACTACTAAAAAATGATCGAAATGTGGCTACGCTGGAGATGGAATACCAGGCTATGATGTACCTCAGCAATGCCAACTACAAGGAGCACAATTATCGCACAGCCTGCAGTCAGCTGGAGGCCGTTGTCCTGCAGCGTAAGACAATGCTGAGATTCAAGAGTAGCTACCTGACGGCCATTGAGAGTTCGTATCCACAGTTCCAGGATGCGGAGCTGCGCTATAAGATCGCCATCTGTTATCGCGAGATGGGCGAATATAATATGGCAATTAACACACTACAGGCCGTAAAGGCGCGCACACCGCGACTCAACATGTTGCTCGCCCGGCTGCTGCATCATCATGGACGCGGCGTCGGCAAGAAGGAGAAGGCGCTCGCCTACAAAGATGTGCTGCGCGAGTGTCCCATGTCTCTCACCTCCATTGAGGCGCTGCTCGAGCTGGGTGTCGAGGGTACTGAGGTGCATTCCATGGTGGTGAATGGTGCGTATTCTCGATGAGCTGTGGTTAGGATCAGTTGCTTTTCTTTTGTTCCAGTGAAAGGAACGTTTGTCATTCATTCCAACTAAGTTGATTCACTTAAATTGATTCACTAGTTGATTCAGTAGTTGAATCACTTAAGGCCTTACTAAGTGTATACATTTAAGCGTTGTACTTGTACTTTTGGCTCTGTTGAAGGCTCATATGAACTAGTTCGGCTTGCAGCAAAAGCTTTTTTTGATTTGAGCAGATATATTTCAATCTTAAACGAAAATCATTTCATTTAATTTCATTTAAACTAGTCCATCTTTATATATAGTCGTACTGCTCCAAGTATTAATGTCGGATTTGTATTATATATGGTACAGTCCAAAGTTCAAGTGAACTAGTTTGGCTTATAATAAAAGAAACCTTACTTAATTCTTAAACTAGCCCAAATTTAAAGTTCATTCGAACTGGTTCATCTCTATGTATAGAATTTCTGCATCTCACTTTATCTGCATCTTATTTATTTAAATTGTGTTTAGCTCCTTTTGAAGTTCATATGAACTAGTTCGCTTCAAAATCATTACTTGATATAATTCGAAATGAACTGAAGTTTCTTTTTGGATCGATTCTCTTTTCCAGCCGCTGCCTTGCCAAAGAACATCGAATGGCTGAGCAGCTGGATCAAAGGACACGCCCAGATGTACGGCTGCAAGCACCGAGAAGCGTCACAAACGTTCCAGCAGCTGAACGAGACAAAACAACTCCACCAGAATGAGCATATCCTGACGAAGATTGGCAACTGTCTGTATTACGACGGCAACTATCTGCACGCTGAGCAGTATTTAAGTCTGGCCATGATGCAGAATCCGTATAATATAAATGCCCTCAGCTCGCTGGCCGTTGTGTACGATCGCAACAAGAAGAAGCTGGAGCGTAGCACTCTGATAGCCCCGCTCGAGATGCGACGCACCCGAGAGTTTCGATCCGCACACTGGTTCCTGCACGCACAGTTGACCTACTCGAATAGCAAATACGAACGTGCCCTAAGCTTCACGGAGCGCGCCCTGGACATGGACGAGCGAAACATCGAGGCGCTGCTACTGCGTGCCGGACTCTATTTCATGATGAAGCGCCAGCGAGACGCTGTCAATGTGTTCCAAAGTATCCAATGCCTGGCACCGTATCGCTTCGAGGTGTATAAAGGCCTGGTCGCCTGCTATGTGCGTATGAATTGCATCAAGGAGGCCCAAGCCACCTGCACCGTGGCAGTGCGGCAATTCCCAACATCTGCGCGCAGCTTCACCATGTTTGCCGGCACCCTGTTCCGCCTGGCTAATCCGAATGCCGTGCGCAGTGCCAAACGGTTTGTGGAGAAGGGCTTGCAGATCGATGAGCGCTATGCGCCGGGCATTGCACTGTTAGCAACCATTTACCAGGGTGAGGGGGATATTAAGAAGGCGATTGCGTTGCTCAAGAAACAGGTGGAGTATCGACCAGATGCCATGCTCTTTGCCATGCTGGGCGAGATGCTAAGCAAGGAGAAAGATCTGGATGCTGCTCTACAATACTTTACGCTTTCATTGAGGTATGATCTCTCTCCCCTTTTTTTCTCGTTATCGCTGTCTCGCTTTACTCATAAGGTGAACTTTTACAGATTGGATTCCACCTATCAGCGTGCCTTGGATGGCATTAATGCACTGCCCAAAGCAGCACGCATGGCCAGCAGCAACAAAGCCAGCGACAAGGCTAGCGAATCAAATGGAGCAGCAGGCTCTAATTGCACTGCAGCAGCTGCTGCCGCTACTGGTGCTGCCGCTACTGGTGCTGCTGCTACTGGTGCTGCTGCTACTGGTGCTGCCGCTACTGGTGCTGCCGCTGCGGCCTGCAGCGCGCCGAATTTACATCGAACCTGTAACAGAACCAATCACGATTGGCTGCTGGACTATGATGAGGCAGAGTCATTGGAATTGTCCTCACCAGCTGGGCCAGCAGAAGATGCGGAATCCGATACATTCTCGGAGCCCTTTTGGCAGGCCGTCGATAGCGAATTGACAAATTAATTGGAATTGAGGGCCAACTACAGACGTTTTGTCTAGATTCTGAATTCCATCAAGTGTAGGCTTAGTTATTTAATTTGAATGTTATTTGAAGAAGCAAAATCTATTTATGAACGATAAAATATTAGTAATTTTTTTAAAATGCTTTTGTTTTGTACCACAAAAAACGTTTTGTTTGCACAACTGTGTGGGATTTTTCTTAGCGTGTATATGTTTGTTGTTGTTTTTATACCTTGCTCGTAGCTTATAAGTAAGTTTTGTTCGTTGCTAGAACAAGCCCCAGTGGCCTAATGGATAAGGCATCGGCCTCCTAAGCCGGGGATTGTGGGTTCGAGTCCCATCTGGGGTAAAGTTGTAGTAATTTTTTGTAAATTTCATACAAATTATATTTTTTATCATTGTACAATGACAGTAACTGATACTACATGAAACTAGTTATTTAATAAATTAATATAATACACTTTTTGGGTTTACTAGGATATCACAGTCTGTTAAGTGTGGAGCAGTGCTGTTAAGTTGCACAGCATGGAGTAGTACAATCTTTTAACAGTGAGCTTCTGCTGTATGTTAAAATTGTGAGCCTGTTTGTCTAACAGCAGTCTGTGGAGCAATTCTGTGGAGCTGCACAACTTTTGCTGCATATTTAACATGTTGAGCCAGCTGACACATCAGCTGCTCGTCCAGTTACTTGGTATTTCTTTTTGGTATTTCTATATTTAACAGTGTCTGGTCGCACAGCGTATGCGCTCGCGCGCCAAAACATCAGTTGTTTATCAATCGCGTGCGTTGCTGGATGTGCGTGTCCGTTGTTCGCAGATTACCGATCGACATCTTCTGTTAGTTTTTTCGTTTTTTTTTGTTTGTTGATTCTTTTTTTTTATTGTTGATGATATTGTTGTTGTTGTGAACGATAATTAATAAATTGAAACAGTTAAAACAATAAGAGTGCGAGGGGAACGAATTGAAAATTCCTCGCGCCTTATGCAAATTGAAATTAATCAATTTAAAAGTTGCGAATTCTTAAAAAAAGCAAAAGTGAGAGCAAAAACAATAAAACCACAAATAAAATTGGCATAAATAAATATTAAATGAAGTTTAATTTAAATTTGTGTTTTGACATTCTATGAGTTTGGAGCTAGCAGCGTTTGATAAAGGTGAGTCTAACTGTAAATTATAAGCTTATGATCGAAGATGGCTGGCGATGCTTTCAAAATGGCAAAGCAGTACCGTTATGCGTTACATATTGTGTTGCCGTTTCGCGAAACATAAAGAGAGCGTTTAAATGTACCGTTACAATACGAAAAACAGCATTTGATTTGGATTTGCAAAATGCAAAACGCAAAATGCAAATCAAAACTGCGATTCAAGCCAAATTGTTTGTTTGCCCCTTTTTTTTTGTCGTTGTTGTTGCTGTTGCCCACTCGATAAGCGACATCTGTGCGAAAACACTTGGAACACGTGTAGCAGCAGAAGATGTTGTCAGCAAACAAAAAACTAAAAAAAAAAAGCAAAAAAAAAAACATAAATATTTCTTATATTTACTGTGTTTACAATAGGTAATCGGGTATATTGGGTAGAAGAGCTTTATTAATTTTTGATAGTCGAAAGTTGCTAAGAGTGCTGAGCAAAGTACTGTAGATCGATGTTGATTTAATAATAATATTTCACAGTCGGTGGGCTAAAGGTCAAAGAGTTGTTTAACTGTTAAATATATATATAAATAGAATACAGTAGAATCCCAATAAATCGAAATTAAAATTATTGAGAATTATTGAGAACAAATTTCTTTCAAGGCGATAGATTTTTTTTCTATTTAGCGGGATCCAAACTATCGAGACTCGACTGTATACAGACTATATACAGAAATAAACGCTTCCATTCCACTCAATTATAAATTGATTAAAAATATAGGGTTCTTCTTTAAATATTTGTATTGTCAAAGAGCATTGCGCAGTCGGTGTTTCCCCGTTGTTTGCAATGTTCTCTGGGCTTCTGGTTCGTCACGAACATCGCGATCTGCGCAGCTAAAGATACAACGGCCTTTGTGTGCCTTATCTGTAGGTCAGTCGGCGTAGCATATCGAAAAGCCGTATTTATCTCTTGGTATTGGATTATCTATCAAGCTAAAGTCAGAGTATAAAGCACTTCATCATTTTAAAAATATGAAACTTTTTCTTTTTAATGTTACTAAAATATGTAGAAATATTTAAAAAAAAATTTGTTCTTGAGAGAGATTTCACCGTATTTACTTTCACAGATTTTTGTCTACTGCTTCTCCCAACAAAAATTTTCCTAGAAAATACCTGAAAAAAAAAGAAAAACAGTTGACATAATTTTGTAAAAGTGCTATAAAGCATAAATGCAAATTTAGCTAGAAAATTTACCGCTAAAGCTCACTAACTAAAAAAAAAGGCAAGAAAATACAGCAGAGTTCATTAATATARAATCGAACTTATATATGTATGTATGTATGTATATGTGCATATATATACTCATATATAGATCTACAGCTGCGCCTGATTAAAAACTACTTCAACGGTACACGCAGCTAATTAAAAAAGAATAGAAAAACTTCAATCAGTAAATGACACAAGCAAAAACAACAACCGCAGCAGCAGCGCCAACAAAACCAATCAAAGCAAAACAAAAGCAAATGTTGACAGGATACAGTTGCATGCGCACGAGCGAGATAGCAAGCGAAAAGAATAATAATAATCAAAAAGTAATGCATGCAATTTGCAAGGCTCAGCAAGCTAAAACAGAAGAAGATGTGCAGAGAGATAGAGAGTGTGAGAGGGAGCGGGAGTGAGAGCGTGGTGTGTGAGAGCGGGCTAACGGGATGCGGGTGTGCGTGCGAGTGTCAACAAACATTTGACAGCTGTTTACGCCTGTTGGACGCTGCCGCCGTCTCAATTCGCGAGAGCCAAGGACCGGGCCGAGGCGTCGCGCCGCAGCTAGCGTGAGAGCGTAATTGGGCACAGCGTAGTGTGGCAATTCTGTTAAAATTTCCTTTTGAGAACGGAACGAATGCAGCTGATAAGCAAAGGGCCGCGGGCCACACATTCACAGCGGCTGATAAATACACTTACACACACAGTTGTAGCTCTATTACAATAGTATGCTCACTGGCTGCCATATGTTTTGCTTGATTTGTAACGCATGCGCCTTGCATTGCCATGCATCGCCCTTCCCCTTTCTTCTTTCCCAAACAACAACACAGATAGCATTTTATGGATTACATTAATATTCGACAAGAAGCACAAAGTCCATTGCACAGTGGCACATACTCACACACATACATACATATGTACATATGTATGTAACTGCTGCAATTGGAGCTTACAGAAACCAAAGTTAAAGTGCGATAATGGAAAAATATTGTTATAATAATAATTTATAGAGAAAAAGCAAATTTTGATTTATATATATTATAATGATCATTCTGATCCCAAGTTTATTTTTCTTATGTCTTTAAATTTGCAATTTTAAAGTTCAGTTCAATCAATGCTCGTCCCACTGTGTCAGGCGCAAACTATTTGGGCATAGCGGTTGTTGTTGTTGTTATTGTTGTGCGCTTCAATTTGGTGGTTTCAAGTGCGGCAGGACTTGCGCGGAAGCTGATGTAAGCCTCTTTACATTCTCTATATACGAGTGCCGGCTCACGAAGCGTCAATGTCCGAAGGCCATTAACCGAAGTCGAAGCCCAAGCCCAAGCCGAGGCCGAGCGCGAGCCGAGGCCAACCCTTGTGGAGCTCTGCCAAAAGAGAGATCTGGGAGAGTTGACGTCGCTGTCTCTGTTGCCGTCGCTGTCGCAGTTACAGTTCGTCCTGGGCCAGCTTTAGGATTTGTCGACGTCGCTGGCAATTGGCGCAGTTTTCGCGATTTGTCTGCGGCTTTGCACGGACGTCGCCAGCGCCAACGTCAGCGTCGCGGGTCGTGGACGACGTTGCCGTTACTTTAACCGTTTCTTCTTGTTGTTGTTGTTACGTTTTTGGCATTTTGTTTTTGTTTTTTCTGTTTTTGTATTTCGGCTGTGGTTTTGTTTGATTGTTTTTTTTTTTAGTTAGGTGAATCAAACGAAATTTTAGCACATTTACCGTTATAATAACGTGCTTCCTTGTCGATAGAGGTCTGTTATTGTGTGTGTGTGCCTGTCGTGTTTTTTTTCTGCTCTTGTCGGTGTGTTTGGGCTGTGTGTTTTTTTTTCATCAGTTTTCGCGATTTTTCGTCGTCTGCGTCGCGTGCAACAAAGTAAGCGCAGAATTTAACGTAATTCCTTTTTTTTTTTTTATATATGTATATATTTTTATATTCGATAGTTGTTGCTGTTATAGGGTGGCAACCATCGATTTGCGTGTCGCGCAGTCAAACAAATCAAATGGAAAACGCGATTATGCTTAAAACAATACAATTGCCAATAGTTTCTTGTAGTTTTCTTCCTTTTGGCTGCCAAAATTATTATTATTATATTGGCCCATTATCCATTTGCCTGGCCACCCAATAACTGTCTAGCTACGTGTATGTGTGTGTATACACCTCTGTCTCTCTCTCTCCGTGTGTGTGTGTGTGTTGTGGAATGTGCCGCAGTAAGTGCATGGGCAATAGGCTGCAGAAACCCACTTACTTATGCATCTATTATAGCTGCACTTGCACAGACACGCACGCACACATAAACAGTTGGGCATAGAAGTCTACACCCCACTAGAGTTAAAGCATATTCAAAACGATAAGTGTTTAGTTTAAAAGTTTAAGCCATTCAAGAAAAGTTTATTTATTTATTTATTT